CAAAATCTATTCTGAATCCAAAGTTACAGGTCAGATATGCTGCTGGTTTACAGGACAGGAGTTTGGTATCTTACCTGATATCTTACCGGCCCCCAGGTAGCATTGAAGACTGGCCGACCATCTTTACACAATGCTGACGGCAGCCTGCGGCTTGCCCCACATGCTGACTCCTGTCACCATGCAGAACTCAAGAGCGCGACTGTGTCAGCTCCACAGTTCAAACACTCACCGTCAGCATTGGCTCAGAGAAGCCAGGGCTACTACCTGGGTGTTGAGTGGTTGAAGATACTGAGGTTACTGAGGTTGGCACAAGCCATCTGGCTCTATACATAAGATGACACGTCAACATTCTAATTCTGTGATGGAACACACATGTTCCATCCAGCATTCTATTCTATTCTGTTCTATTCTCAAGGGCAGATAATGTCTCCTTTTATGAATTCACTCTTTGCTAGTCCAGTGTTCATCATGTTTTCCATGGCAAAGTTTTCACAAAACTCCACCCATTATGACCCATTAGCAGTAATGACATAACACTGTATATTACAAAAACAATATTGTTGTCTCTTGCTTTGCAGATATTTTAAATCATACATGCAACAAGTCACAACAAAAGTTGAAGCTGTTGCAAATAACTCCACAAATTATCCTTTTAACATTGTTAAGCTGTCTATGTTTGCGAATTCATATTCAAATGCTAATGCTGTATATTGCATCCCGTGTACTGTATGGTAACTATATCCACACCCAAATCTCACCTGCACCTGAGTTTGGGAATTAGTCAGTTGATGGATTTAAGACCTTAAAACAGTTTTGAACTGAATTATTTGGTGGATAATAGTTATTAAGACAAATAATAAGTCTTTCTAATCATTATTTTTTGTTTGCGTAGCACGTTTCACTGCTCTGATTGGAAGAAACCCAATTTGCATTTTACTATGACTTTTTTCGACATACTATACTGACTTTGTTATGACTTTATTCAACATGGTATACTTTGACTTTTTTATGACTATCCGACATAATCCATGACTTTTGACAAAGTAGCATTTAATTCATCTCTCCTGATCATTCACTGAAGACTGGATCAGTGGTGTTGTGTCACAACAGAAACACTATCGAAAGACATTTAGTGACACACTAGGGAACGTATGGCGAATATGAACAAAACCTATAAAGAGAAATATTTAGTTGATTTCAAAACTCAATAACTATGTGTTAGACAATCTTAAAAACTAATATGTATCATTGACACAATACATTTGTTGTCATTTCAAATATGTAATGAACTCTAATTCTGCTTCTGCCATTAAATGAAAGCTTGAAAATGCATTTTTCTGTCTGATGAATATAAAGAAGTAAACATGTCCTCACTAGGGGACATGTTTCCTAAAACAACACTTACCTCTGTGAATAAATGTGAGAATACCATTCATCCCATCATTTACTGGGATAGTCCCTAAGCTTCTGTGCTTGTATTTTAACATTCTTTTAGAAAGCTGCTATCTCTACATGTCGAGTGATATGCATCCCATTTAAACAGACTTCGGGTGTCATTGTCTCCCATTACCCCCAGATGGGACCGTCTCGTTGCAGAGAAACAAGCTCAGGGCTCCCACTGATTCAGCGTTATTGTGAGTTGTATTTATTTATGCATTTTATATTTGTTTTCATGCCGATCGTATCATTTTATTTCGACGTGTTTTTCCGCCACACCTTGAAGGCCGGTCCGTGAAAATATTGTCTTACATGAAACCGGTCCATGGTGCAAAAAAGGTTGGGGACCACTGGCATAGACATAGACTGTATAAGGAGACGCAGAGTAAAAGTGTTTCTACCAGTAGATGGCAGTATACGTGTATTTAAACCATAGATTTAGTCATATTTACCTGTGCCGTTGTTAATTATCTGGGTTATTGATACATATGTATTTACTGGAGTTTATTGCATCTATTTTATGGTTAATTTGCAAAAGTAAATACATGATGTATAACTAGCTTGCTAATTAAATATGACTAAAGCTATAGTTTAAATACTCGTATACTGCCATCTACTGGTAGAAAGATGGTAAAGCAGCAGCACAATACGGTGGAAAAACAAATATCAGTGCCAACAAAAACAACTCTGTGAACACAAACGTGACTTTGATTAAACTGATCATGTCAAATTTCATGTAATTTTACTAAGCTCTAAAGTCAAAATATATTGCAACACTGTCGATTTTCCTCATACACAGTTTTGGAGAAATTTAAAGCGAGTTACCTCCAAAATAGAAAGGTGTTTCATCATATTTGAAATCTCATTTATTTTTTTCTTTCTTAAAAACTCTGAATGCTGAATATTCGGTTAGATTCATACAATGTCCATGGTGTTTCACTGTACCAGTATTCTCCTAGATTTATTGCAATACGAGCACTTTTTCTTAATGTATCGCCTTTCATAAAGATCTATTCTTCATTGGTGTGCTGGATTTAGATTTGCACAGACCAGCCAACAAGTAAAAAAAAAAGACATGACTTTAAAAAAAAAAAAAAAGTGTTTTGCATTTAGAAATGTCGACTATTTAATTTACCTCACGTCACCATTATGAAAAAAAATCAAAACACTACACAACAATTTAGTTAGACAATAAAAAAAACAATTAGGAAAAATGTCCTCATTGCGTTTGTCTCACCAGGAGTGTTTGAGTATTTAAATTTAGGGACTATCTTGATAAACTCAACTTAATGAACTCTTCTACCACAAAGAAATGTGTTAAAATAGCACACCGTGTCAGGTACCCATCCTTATTTTCAGTGGAGACAAATAAATCAACAAGTCCTAAGGATACAGTACTTCTATTTGACTATGCTGTATGCTTACATTTATTATGAGAGGACAGGAGTAAAAATGAAGCAATATAATGATTTTGTTTCAAAGTCACAAACGTACAAACATAGATTTGTTAGTTCTACATCTTACAGAAAGTACTGTTGCTGTGCTGAAGGGGTTAACAGGGGTTAAAGGTTGAGGACTTTGCACATTCTGCAACATCCAACTTCCTGCCGCTGCTGCACATTTTGGCCAGATTCTGTGAAAAGCAGAAAGCAGAGTTATTATTTAAGAAACTTGTGGATGGAGTCAAAGATCTAAAGTTATGCCTTCGTAAATCTCACATTAGCAGCTCGGACGATGCTGTTTGGAGACTGGAGGGCTGCGAGGTCCGTCAGGATCTTCTGGAGATCACGATTACTCGGACGCTCTGAAACAGCCGAGTCGAGTACGGGTCAGTGTCACATGGTGAACACCAAAGTTGGCAGGCAAATATACAGTTTGATGAGTGTGTGGGGTGTGTGTGTGTGTATACCTGGTCCAGGTGATGCTTGTTGCTTCAGCTGCAGGTATGAATGTTCCAGCAGCTCTGCAATAGAGATTCGCTCTCTGGGGTTTCGTACCAAGCACTTCTGAAACAACCAGATAAAAACAACCGATTTGTATTTCACATCACTTCTACAGTAGCCAGTTTTAATCTATGGACATCAACATTTTAGTTCAACCTGTAACATACATGAATGCATGTTTAACCCTTATGTAAAAAAATTTCAACACTCAAACACAGTGAACGTGAACAGGAGTTCACTCTGACGTAAAAGTGATAAATCTAATGTATTTGATGGGATAAACAATATTAATTTAATAAAAAATGTAAATATTAACCTGCACCGTACATTTATAGGCACTGTATACTACATAATACATTTTATTTATATAGCACTTTAAAAGGCACTCAAAGACACTTTACATGGTAAAAACAGAAACAATAAAAGCATTTATAATAAGAACAAAGTAGATGACATCATAACAGTAAGAAACAACACGAAAAAAAAGGGGTGAGACGTTGGGCAAGACGCCCAAATTGCTCCCGTAGCTGTGCCTACGATGTGTGGATGTTAGCTAGTCCTGATGGGCAGGTGGCACCTTGCATGGTAGCGCCTGCCATCAGTGACTGAATGGGTGAATGACATGAAGTGTTCAAGCACCTTGAGTGGTCGAGAGACTAGAAAAGAGATAAACAAGTACAAGTCTATTTACCATAAGTGTATGGTCACTACAGTGGAAGCGCAATAAAGTGCTTTACGAGGCCAACTAAGATGCCAGCTTTTATCCCAGCAGGGTTACCTCCATTATGGAAACACAATGAGCGAGTTTCCCATCACTTCAAAAAGCCTAAACACTTAACTTGTATCTCTTGTGTTCGCTCTACACTCATACAGTTCAGTCGCGGCCTCTCACCTTCAACACATCCAGCAAATCCTTCTCGGCGATGTCGGGAAATTCAATCCTATGAGACCGGTCGATGATGGCGTGCAGCTTGGCAATCTGATTGGTGATGCCTTGGAATGGAGTTTTCCCGTAAGTCATGCAGTACAGGATGCACCCAAGGGACCACACGTCACCCTTGGGACTGATCTTTGAGAGAAACAAAGAAGAAAAAAAAGTTTTCACAACAGCGCTGCAATCAGAAAGGATCGCTCCGAATGTTTAATCGACTGAGCTTGGTACCTTTGAGCGGGCTTTTCCTGCCTGGGATGAGGTGTCTTTGATGGCTTCAGGGGGCATGTAGTTCAAGGTCCCGACCTGTGTTTGACAAACAACCACGCGTTACACGGGTGGAGACCTTTCCACCCGGAGTATAGATCCAATACAGCCCGATTATGTGTTTTCATACCAATCTAATCACGAGTGCTGCATGTCAACACAACATGCAAGAGACTACGCATGTATATATGACATAACTCTTACCTGTGAGTCCTTCATAATGCTCGTAACATCCGGCTGGATTCTGTTGGCGATGCCAAAGTCAATCAACTTCAGCGACGCATTCACAATGACAAAATTTGCCGGCTTCAGGTCACTGTGGACAATTCCTGCATAAAAAAAAAAAAGACAGAAGAGGACATTTAGTATATTTGGAATTGTTAGAAATGAAGCTCATCTTCACGTGCCATTCAGTAAACGACGCTGAGATTGAGGGGGAGAGTAGTGAGAGCTCTGGAGGAAGGCGGACCGTGTTTGTGGATGGTGTGGACGGCCTCCAGCATGTTCTTCCAGTAGAACTTCCGCTCCAGCGGATTCACAGTCTTGCGGTTTCGCAACCAAGTGTTCAGATCCAAGTTTCCACACTCCATCCGCATGTAGATGGAGCTGTTGGTTATTTCACTGCAAACGCATAAACATCCGTCATGGTTATTCGACCCATTAGATTTCTGTATTTTGTATACAAATGTAACTTAAAGGTGACTCCTCGTCAATGCATCGACACATTGGTTTTGGACATGTGCTTACTAGTCATAGAGCTTGATGATTTGATCGCTGTACTGCTGCAAGCGGTTCAGATGTTCAATCTCGTTTTTGTAGCTCTCTATTGTCTGAGCGTCGGCCTCCTCGAGGTCGACGTATTTCACAGCAAACAGCTGCTTTTTGTGATCGAGGACCTGGTAGACCTGGAACGAGCAGAAAAACAATGCTCACTGATTAGAGGCGCAAACGGCAGCAAGAGCAAAGCCGACGATCGCTGTAACATAATAGGAATTTCCCACTAATGTTTTTTTTACCTTACTAGATCCACCACGTCCAATCATCTTGAGTATGAAGAACTGCTTGCCTTTGATGGTGATGGTTTCGTTTGACAACGCAGAGAGAGACGCCTAAAATTGAATTCAAGCAAAAGTCATTACATCATGACGTTACAGTTTTAAATGATTCCTTGCGACGGCATTTCTGCGTTTCATACTGCAAGACGAGCTATGTTAATCTTTACATGAACAGATGCGTCATGCAGTTCATCTCTGCTGTATGAACAGTAAAAAGCATCACAAAAAAAAAGCTTTCCGATTGCTGAGTTAGTTATTGTGGCCTTATGAGTTACGACAGGTGTTTGGTGTCACGGAAAACGTTGTGGACACATGCAGTATGTCCTCGGAGTCTAAAAATCTATTTAGTATCCAAGATAAGAGTAAAAGTAGGACATGAAGATGTTGTACCTGTGGAGTCTGGAAGCATGGCGTTTGGTTTAGCGGTGTGCACGGCTGCTGAACGGGTCCGGTTCTGTGCGCTGCCACTGCAGAGGAAGACACCCCAGGGCCTCGCTTTAAGACGGGAGTAATAAAGCTGGGGGGGGGGGGGGGGGTGGAAGTAGGTGTTATTGGGCACATTTTATAATGATAGAAAGCAGCACATAAAGAAACAAGAAATGTCTTTTAAAGATACCTGCTAGGGTTCCTGTAGCCGTTCGGTGTCTGACAGACTGTCTGTGGGTTCGTTCTTGAAGGAAGATGAAGGGATGGAGTGGGGAGGGACTCACGCATACGGGGAACGGGTCTGGGGTCAGGAGGTGTAGTTCGTTTGTCCTAGGAGGAAAATAATTTGGAATGATTTGATCAGCACTAGGGTATGTTTATGAGACTACAGTTGATTAAAAAGTGGAATGGAGACAGCAAGCTTGGAGAAAACACTGACAAATAAGGGAAAGTAGTTATTAGTCCCCAACAGTAAGAAAGAGCAGTTTATGAAACATCTTACACATTTGCTCTAAATGCATTGCACAGAAAACAGCAGTAACGAATGTCAGCAGACCTCTGGAGAAACGTGCCGGTTGATGAGAGTTGGCATCTTCCACTCGGATGAAGGCTCCTTGCTGGCAGCTTTCGGCTGTTCCGCTGACCGGTTCACAGGGACCCGACCAGGAAGATGAAGTTCCTGGTTTCTCCCACAAGTAGACGCACTTACCGCAGCAAATGTTTGCAAATCTACAAGAAAAGAGAGTAGAAATGAAAACCATTTCGGTTACAAACCATCTCCAACTCAGTGTTAACTTTAACAACTCTCCTCAGTTAATCTCTACCTGCAGGATGTTCCTCCTCCTCCTCCTCCTCCCTGGGGGGCACGAGCTGTTTCTCCCCAGCTTTCAGGTTACGTATGGCCAACTCCAGGAGCTCCGCTGGCCTGGCATTTAACGCCTGGGCTTTGTGCAGAATTGAAGTTGCTTTGATCACATTACCTTAAAAGGAAAGGAGGAAAAACATTTTTTAATTTCAGTAAAATCAACACTTGTCTAGTCAACCTCTCTATAAATAAAGCCAGAGCTGGTAAGAGTATTAGGACACTGGCACACATCTGTACAAGTCAGTTCATTTAAAAGTTCATCATATGAATGTTGTTAAATGTAAACCTGCATGTATTCCATTAAACGTGTACTCATAACTGCGTTAATCTGTGCATTTGGTCCGTGTCAGATGAGATTTATGGAAACTAAAACACAAAGCCATTGTACCTTGAGAAAGCTCAAACTGGGCATGTGCTACGTGGACAAAGGCAAAGGCTTTACAGTTGGATCTTGCAACTATGAAGTGGTCCTGGGCTTCATCTGGGTCTTCAATCCTGCAAAAGAAAAAAAAGACAGAAATGTGGTTATACTTTACAAAGCGGTTGAAAAAGATGTTAGAATAAACACTATTTTGAGAGGGTTAAAGTGCTGTATGCACTGATTTTAACCTACAGAGCGAGAACAGACACATCCAGACACACAGGCTTCTACACACGAGACATGATATATGGTCACATTTAATAAATGTCTTACAGGGGCCCCAGTTTATTCATTCTATATCACCAACACCACACCACGCTTTGGGCTGGGAGCATTGAATTGCTGTACAGTATGACAAAATCCCCATTAACATAATTCACAGTGTCCTGTCTGAATGATCAGAAATAAAGGTTTGCCAAAATCTTGAACAGTGAGACAACTTAGATACATAATTAAAAGTAGAGTCTGAGCTTCAAGTGAAACACTGAAAAATATGTTTTACCGTGCATTTTGAAGTGATCATGATTACACACATCGACAGATAAAATGCTGTGAAACTGATCACAATCTTCGTGTTTTTTTTCTTCTCACCCCTTGAGTTCTGCGTATCTGACCAGTATTCTGGCGTAGCTGGCGTTTTTGCTGAACTGTCTTATCGGCAGCCTGGAGAAGATTTTAGAGTAACAGTCCTTGAGCTTATTCAGGAGGTAGATGTCTGTGTGAGGGCTGCCTCTCTTCTCCAGGTCCATCAGATACGTCCAACACGACTCGGGGGAATGTGAATTGACGACCTGGTCGAAGATGAACGTCACATCTGCCAGGGGGGCGGGGGGAAAACTAAATGTCATCGAAACGGTCAAAACACTAAATGCACATTGCTCCCACGGCTCTGAACGTTTTCATCGGCAACTCAACAAGCAGTGCAGTACCTTCCACTCTCGGGGCGTCCCTTGTGTCGTGTGTGTGGAGGAGTGTGGTGGTGGAGTCCACCGCTGCCTGGTCCTCCCAAGGGCAATACTCGGGACTGACAGCTGGTGGCTGAGAACACAGCGATATAAGAGAGCGATTTAACACTTCTTCCTTTAACTCAATGTTGTAATGATTCGGATATTGCTCGACCCAAAGCTCGGTTTTTTTTTTACTCACTCGATAGTATAAACGATCGACATCTTTTATCTTTGAAGATGATAGCCCAAATAGCGGGTTCACGTTCGAACCACATGTTTGCCTGAGACAAAATGAAAGAAATGAAGTATCAATAACACATACAACACTTGAAATGAATGATTATTACACATTTGTGTTGAAATATTTAAGAATTTGCATCCAAAGTGAACATGGGAAGTGACAGGTATATCCATCTATTGCTATCTACAATGATCAATATCTTTCTCATATACAACCAGACTTATTTTTCCGACAAAACTGTTTTCATGCAGTATTCCTCAAGACATAATAAAATCAAACACATTTGTAAATAGATGTTGCTATAAAGAGTTACCTGGACATGCTGGTGTGGATTGATGCATTATTTCTCTTTGAGGGCTTCTCATTGATGATGTCGTCGTCATCATCATCATCCTTTTCGGGGATAGAGAAAGGTACTATGGGAACTCTCCCTGGCTGCAGTACAAAAGTAGAGCATACAACTTTAAAACTTCAAGGGTGATTTTGTAATGAATGTCATACGATCTTTGTAAGGAAAAAGACATGGTAAAAAGGATCACACAGAGAAAAAAAAGCATGTGTAAGAACACAAGTAGGATGAACTGTAACTCTCACCATGCCAACTACTCTCTTGCAATGAGATCCAGACCTCCAGCCTGACAGTTGGTCATCTGATGATCCACCGAGGGATTCCGTCCTGCAGGGCAGAGATCGACATAAGATGGAATACTTCCTAAATCAAACTGAGGTCTTATTAAATGCTGGAAAGTGGTGTTTTATTCTTACCCTGAACCAAAATTACTGGAGAGCTGCAACTCGCCTGTGCCGTCCGATGTTCGGCATACTTTTTGGAATACCGAGCCCTTTTTGACAGAACCGTGCACATTACTGTTCGACAACTCTGGCAGGAAGAAAACACGGCAAAATGAGAAAAATCAGACAATGAGAAGTTAATATGTATTTGATAATATTGCAATGTAACGTCAAGCGATCAATGTAATTCCATGGAATAAATAAAAAAACTCACGTAGTACATTTTCCTTATCCTCTGAACAGAATAATAGTTGTTTCCCCGTCTGCATGCTCTGCAAGACAGCCTCCAGCAGCTCCTTTGGTTTGGCACCCAGCTCAATAGCATTATGCAATATGTAAATGCCTCTCTTTGTGTTGCCTGGTCAGATGATACAGCAGACACTGAATTACCCCAGATAACGTGTCATGAGAATGTGCTTCTATGCACAAGACCAACAAACAAACCTACCTTGAGAATGTTCAAACTGTGCATGTGCAATGTGAACAAATGCAAAGTTCTGGCTGTGAGACCTCGCCACGTTGAAGTTGGCTTCTGCCTCATTGACATCTTGAATTCTAATAAAAAACAGGAAAAATAGACTAAATGCCCAACTTTCAAAATTATATATTTAATCCAGCCTAATCAATCTACCAATGAATACAGAATTAAAAAGTAGAAGGATAAAGGTATTGTATATTAAAGTAATAACTTGGTTACTCACGCTTTTAGCTCTGCAAATCTGACCAACAGCCGGGCATAGCTCTCATTCTGACAGTGTTTTCCCAGCGGCATATTGGAGAATACTCTGGTATAAAAGTCAATAAGTCTGGTGAGGTGGTTACGATCCAATTGAGGGTCCTCTTTCTTCTCCAGGTCCGTCAAATATGAGAGGCACGACTCAGGGGAGTTTGAGCCGATAACCTGTTTAATATTGTCCGTGTCATCTGTAAGAAGTACAAGGTGTTATTATGATTTTATGAAGTATGTACATATGGATACCGCTGCATATGGAGCTCACTACTGGGTCATTACCTTTATGGAGATCCTTTGTAATGTTGTTGATCTTTTGAAAAAGCATGGCAAACCGCTGCTTCCTGTCTGTATGCTCCTCTTCTTCCATCTGAAATTGAGAAGCAGACACGTAACATTAGCCCAGATATGCATGCTGTCATTAACAGAAAGCACGTTTAGAGAATGACGATTTAATGATTCCTTACTTGGTATGACAAAGTGCATTAGTGATTTGATGACACGATTTTAGACTTTTTAAATAGGACTTACTCCTACAAGACACTCTGCTAAACCGGTAACATTATAAGTGACATTTAACATATCAGCCAGGATGTGGTTTAACCGACTAACGTTACGATAACTAAAATAAATAAATTGCACGTTACCACCATGACGTGCAGTTTTATGGACGTATTAACTAGCTAACTTTCTTTAAATACCTTGTATTTATAATCGCTGCGAAGCAAGGAAGAGTTCCACTGATTTATGCAAGACAGATTATTGGACATCGTCCTAGATTTACAAAGGAATTTACTCTTTCGTGTTTACAATCGGAGTTAGCTCAGTTAGCTAGCTAGCTACATGTTGTTAACGCTTTTGTTAACGATTAGCGTGTTAGTAGGTAGCGACTTAGTTCCGCTATGGGCTACGCAAACTCAAGAAGTATAGAGAAACACGTATAAAGACATATTCATTCATATTAAAGGAATGTTATTATTGAAAAACACCTCACCTTGTTTGCGATGTTATTAATCCTGTTTCACTGGAGCACGAAAAAAGGCTCGCCTTCAACTGCCAGTTTTCAAATATGCCACTTCCGTCCCAGTCGCGTGCTGATTGGATAGTGTGTGGTGACGACAGCGTTGGTTGTGTTTACAAACTAGCGTTTACCCTCAGCCACGACTCATTCATGTTAATATGTGTAATACATAGTTTACAATTCATTATCATAATGCATTATATATATTTAGAGTTACATTATGGTTTATTTTCATTCTTCAGGTTTTGTATTTCTATCAGTAAAGTTAATTATTTTCGATAGAAAAATGACAGCAGTGACTGTTTTTCATGAACCTCCCTTAATAAAATAATAATAATAACAATAATAATAATAATATCAGTGTGACAGTGACAATAATAATGATAACTTTATTTATATGTATTTTTCAAGCTTAAGCATCAAATGCTTTCCAGATTAAAACAAAATTAAACAAAAAGATCATCTTAAAATGACAATAATAATGTGTATAAAATATTCAGACACAAATGTAAAGGTTTACTGTCATTGATTTATCCATGGGGATTAAGTAAAGTTGTTGCACACTCATTTTCCGACAGTACCTGAATGCAGCAGCTCCACGCTGCACTTCCCTGTTCTAGCTTCCTTGGTTCCTGCTCCTCCCAGCTCAAAGATGGCAGCCATGGGACAGAGATGAGAGACGACACCAATTTAGGAGTTTTGTTATGAAACCGCATTGGGCTGTACAGCTGTTACATGCATGGTTTTAAAATGACAGCGGTATAATTTGTCACTGCCAATGTGTCGTTTCACGAAGTCAATTAAAGGATTCAGAAATATCATGTTTTTCTGTGGGCTAAGCTAGCAAGCAACGGTTAGCAAATACATGAACTTGCCTCTTCAGCCATCCAAGAAGAAAGCAGCTGCTCTGCATACGGTGTGTTGGCATTTTGCAAGGTGAGTGTCTGTACGATGGCTTGCCAATCTAATGCAAACATGTGCTGTGAAGGCTTAACGTTTACGCTGTTGCGTTAATTTAGCATAAGCTAAATGTTGGCAGAACTTGTCTTATATCGAACAGTTGCCGTTAACCATAGGTCTGTCTTTTGTTGTATGGGGAAAATCGCGTATCTGTCAGTATAATTGCATACATTAGTGTTTAAGTATGTTCATTGCATCTGTCGTTAACATTTGCATGCGATCTACGAGCTAGCTAAGTGTATCCGTGTGCCCTCAAGCAGCATTTGAATAATATGCTAGTGCCACGGCTCTTCACATGATGGATAATATGACTCGTTGTCGCCAACACATTTATTTTTTACGGTCTGATTCCTGGCAGACTATCTTTCAATGTCACGCTACCCTACATACTAATCGGTTAGCGTTACTGGAGGCTTGCTTTACTATACATCCTGGTGCTTTGGCGCAAAACAAGTCCTGGTTGTGGATCCAAATGCTAATATTTTCTCTTTCCTTTTCCACCAGCTCAATTTCATCATGGCCATCACTCAGTTTCGTCTTTTCAAGATCTGCACATGTCTAGCCACCTTACTGTCTTTCTTTAAAAGGTTGATATGCAGGTGAGCACAACTGGACAAGTACCCCCGATACACACTATTCTCCTTTGTGAAGAGCTTGTCAATGCACATTAGTGGCAAACATGAAAACGTCAAAACAATCTAACTGAATACCTTTGAACCATTGACAGGATATACTGATAAATGTTGCACACATCTGAGCCACAACCAAATAGCTGTTTTTTTTTGTTTTTTTTTGAATTAACTGTAATATGTAGTACTTAACATAAACCAGATCATTGATTTGTGGGTCACGTGCATGCTGAAAATGTAATTGGCAGAGTTCACATCCCTGTCAGTGGATCAATCTCTCCACACTAAAGCGATCTGGCCTTAGAGTTTGGTAACAATGTTGCTGCTGCTGTTTCCAATGCCTCCAGGACCGGAAGGGGTCGCAAGCTCAGCGGTGATCAAATAACTCTCCCGACAACAGTAGATTTTTCATCCTCGGTACCAAAACAGGTCAGTATCGTGTCAATCAACCTGTCCTGAGAACTTCAGAGCCTATCGGTCAATATTGTGGCAACGCAAACTACAGATATAATCATCCAACAACAATTCGAGACTGTCCTATATTTGCTTATAAACTACACAAACTCCTGCGCTTGAATTCCTTGTGTACACTTGACTTTACAGAGTGCTTTATTGTCTATTCTGCATAGCCAGAGATTGAAGAATGGAGCTCTTGGGATGAAGAGGCTCCTACAAGCATTAAGATCGAAGGTGGCAACGGAAACGTTTCCCCCACAGGCAACGAGATGGACGAAGAGCCCGACTACTTTAAAGACATGACTCCCACCATCAGGAAAACACAGAAGGTATGTCCACAGACAGTGCAGCAGGTCCAGTATTACCCAACAAACGCAAAACTTATGATCCACTGAACACACTGAACACATTGTTTTCAAGCTGGTGAAGTCATTACATGTCGGTCTTTCATCATATTGCAGCTTAAAATAGATTAAATATTTCATTAAATGATTTCTTACAATGCCCATTCAACACAGACACGACTCCCTAATGTTTGTGCCCACTCGCTAGAAGTAGGGGTAAGCTTTCTAGCACTGCAGGGTTTGTCCCAGGAAATGCTTTGGTGATGATAAGCCACCCAGAGCATGACACGGCATCTTGTGATCATTCTAGTTGGTTGGTGACTGCACAAACAGTAGCCACACTCTATACGTTTGTGGCATTTGCTGTTTGAAATAGTGCATACGCTCGTTCTTCCTTACGGTTAATGTTTTACTTCATAAAAGTGTATCAATTGTTATGTTGTTGGTGGTGTTGGTGTTGGTTTCAGGCCTCGCCTGTAAAACACTGCTAGGCAGCAAATAACAAATTTCCCAAGAAGTAAATGGTAAACAAAAATGATTCTGCAATGATATACAAAAACACGAACCATGATGCACTAAACTTGCATTTTCTGTTTCTAGAACCTTTATTGAACTATGAGGTTAGACCAGTATAACAGGAATATCAGCTGACTGATTGCTGTGCTCCTGTCCTCACCTTTTGCTTGTTTTTTCCTGGAAATAGTTTTCTTGAGATCCATATAATAACAAGACATTATATAGATATAATATAAATGCATGAGAGCACTACATAGTGTATCTGCATTATGTATTAGACGAATCCTAGCGGGAGTGTAATGCGTCACAAAGTGCTTCAGTGTAAGTTTCAGCCGCTGTCTCTCTGGTTTGCATGTTGCAGATCGTGCTGAAGAAGCGGGAGCCTTTGAACTACCTGGTGCCTGATGGCTCAGCAGGTTTCTCCAGCAGACTGGCAGCCTCTCAGGATATGATGACCTTCAGTCCACCCTCAGTAAGTTACAGCTTAATACCACGAGAAGCATCAGGCAGGTCCTCTGTTCCGAACACATCCAATAATAAATTGTCATTATTAGTCAAAATGACTGAGAGAGCCTCCAGCAAATAGCATCGTATCACTTTTTATTCCCCTTGTCGGTCATGTATGGGTACTTTTCAGGCCGTAGTAAACGACAAGTCAAAGCTGTTTTAACAAATTCAATTCACTTATTTAATGGACCAGAGATTTAAAATTAAAAAAAATCTGAATTTTCCTTTTATTTTCATGAGAAACTATCACGACAGATGTGTTAAGACATGTTTACAGTAGAAGGTCAATCACTAACTCATCTCCCTGTCATGCTTGCACATCAGATTGTGTGGTGATTACCTAAACTAGGACATTCAATTGGGAACTAGCAGAGATGCAACAATATGAATTGTAGATTGTGCTCCACACAGTTCATCTCTGGTACAGCTAGAGGAGACATCCAAAACAAGTGTTTAGTGAAGAGGCTCTTAGTTTAGCTCCTGTAGTAGAAAGGCTGTAGTCGTGGATATAAGTGTGAGTGTGTCTGTGCAGGGGGAACTGGGAGAAATGGATACCTGGCAGGGAGACTCAAACGCCTGGGAGGACGAGTCTGATGCTGCATGGGAGGCAGAGGTGGTGCTCAGGTAATATTTCAAGAAGTTTCCCCGCTTATACACAGTACGTAGACATGCACCAGTACGTAGACATGCACCAGTACGTAGACATGCACCAGTACCGGTTTCTCCGGATTTTTCAGTTGCCCAAATTCATTGTTCATCATTAATAATAGCACCAGCCATTTAAAGGAACAGTTGCGCGAGTTGTGTGTTTTGTATGTAAGACGAAGGGGGAAATAACAACTATTAAGCTTTCTCACATAGGGCAGTGTGCAAACATGCAGTATTGGTATCAATGTACCATAACACACAGGACTTGGTCAGCTCTTCTCCTTCTGGATTTCGTTGAAAAGACCACTTACAATAGGCATCCTGGCCACCTTTGTACTGATGATGATGATACTGTAAGCTCCCTTTCACTTTTGTGTTGGAGGGATGTAGGTTCACACACTGACCAGCAGGTGGCAGTGTAGGCCATTATTGCAACCCCGCAAGCAACAAGATGTTGTTTTCCTCACTCCCAGCTGGCCTCTCCTGTCTGTTAATGTGTGCTGTAGTGACATTGCTTGCAATTTGCCTTTCCTCCTATCCAACAGGCAACAGAAGATGGCTGAGAGAGAAAAGAGGTCCATGGAGCAGCAAAGGAAGAAGATGGAGAAAGATGTTCAGAGGATGATGAAGAAGGAGCAGAAGATTGCCGTCAAGCTCTCGTAACATTATTAGAAATGCTCAGTTTCGAGCCAAAGGGATGGGGGGGGGGGCAAGGACACTGAATCAATCGTCACTCTGTCTTTGAAGTCATCATACCAAACGGGATTACCACCCTTCACTACTTATCTCTTAGCAGTCTGTCCTACTCCACCCTGTTTCCACCAGCAGCCATTTTCGTCCATTTTCCAGCTGCAGCAGTGTGAAATGCATCAGTCTCGAGGTCAGATAACGCTCCTGGTGCACTCCCTGTTCATGTGGCGCGGTCCTTTTGGTCTTCGAGGGAGAGCTATATTCATACGATCCGGTTCATCTAAGGTTAAAGGTTACGTGCAGCATTAGAGCGTACCAGTTAGATTCTGATTACATCCGCCGGGTTTGCGTAGAAAAATGTTATTTTGTTTCTTTCCCGGGAACATTTGTAAATAATCAGGTACCTACCTTTTTGAAACCCAAATAGGGAGTACATTTCCCTTTCTTTGTCGTATTTATAATCTCAAAAGGACAAAGGAGTTAAATTAATTTTAAGCATCACTGTATACCAGTGACATCGCTTGGTTTGCTTGATTGTTGTGTTTTTATATTCATGTCTTTCACTGTCTGAAAACTGCTTTTTTCTTTTTCTAATGAATACTGCTTGATAGTTGACATTATCCCCCCCGTGCTGTGCAGCCCTTCGTATACTGGAAGTCTCTGTTAGAATGAAGGCTGCAGATGTTCATTATGAGTAAGGATGAAGAACCACAGACTAGAATCTAGCCCAACTGTAAGTGTTAGCTGTGGGTTCCTATGGTAATCTCATGGCTACTGATCTGCCATTCATTCTCCTCCTTTGTCAGCGTTTGAAGGAGAAACTCCAGTGATCACTGCTTTGATTTTTTTTTTTAATTTTAATGATTTGTCAAGGTCGTGGGAATGTTACTGTGCTCCTAAATAGTTGTTACTCTCGCTGCACAGACGCTGTCTTTCTGGAACCCGGATCACCATCCCAGCGTGGTCTCTGAATGGCTACCTCGGTCGATAACTAGAGGAAGATGGCTTTCACTGAGCGTCCTGTTATGCATCGTTATAATACATTTACCAGTCAGTGTTGGAAACAAATCGGCACCACTGCCAATAGGCAAGCTGTTGTCATGGAAACATTTTTATAAATTGAAATGTGCAGACGAGATACAAAATGTCTCCGGTCTGTGATTCCTGATAAATGACTTCTAAATGAGGTGATGGAGGCAGATTTCTATACTGACTATTCCAAAAGTAAAAGCTTCGCGAGCTAATTGGTGGGTTGAAGTTATCAAGCAATGACATAATGACACACTGTTGAAACGAATGATTAAATGACCAGTGCATGATCAGGTTTAATTGAAAGCAGGTGTTTTGTTAAAGGGAATTCTGCAAACTATTTGTCCAACTTATTTTTCATGGAGTAAAGCTGCAGGTTTTTTTTCTGTTTTGTCTTTTTGCACATTTCAGTTTTACAAAACAATTTTCTTGCCCCCATTATTTTTTTTTTTCATTCATGAGTAAGACTTCATGTTAAAAATAATTGTCATGATTGAGCACAACTGAGGACCACAAGCTCAATCAATCCAGGAGGATTTGGCAGATTGTACAGCTGCTGTATCAGTCCGACATGTTTTTAATAAACTGATTTGCTTCATACCTCCTAGAGATGAAACGCGTTGGTCATGTGTCTGCTGCCTGATGTGCAATTTGGGAAACACTAGATGAAGTATTGTCACAAAAGGGTGACATTAAATTATTATTGAGCTTTGCTTTGGGTACAACATAAGGGTTTGGGCTTTTTATTAGCGGTGCTAGTGATGCGGCTCCAGGGATTTTAGTCGGTCACTCAAACACTTAGACTGAAACATATCTTGGATGACGTGCCATTCAATTTGGTACACGCACACACAAACACACCTACTAATAGTGAGCTTGTTAGTATTTAGCTTGAAGCACTACAGCCTTACAGAGCTGCAAGCTCTAGACTTGTTCATATCACTAGAACATGATGTCCGACACCAATGTGGCCTTTAATTTGGATTGACAGGATGTTGCCGTCACTCATCTGACCCCCATCATAATGATGTCACTCCCATCTGTCAGGGGCCACTGCCTGCCTGCCAGAACCTCTCAGAGACTGACCCACTTTCAAAAACGGATTGTGCACGTCATTAGTCTTCAGAAAGGGGACGAGCTAAATGACAGAATAATTGTCCTGAAAGACTGAGAAAACCGATAGACTGGTGTGTTCTCAGCTGGTTCCACTTACAGCCACTGCCTCCCACTCCAGCATCCACAGACCACGCAGTGCGGGGATTACAGCATCTGACGACTCGCTAGTCTGATGCTTTTTGAACCGAGAGGTCACGCTTATGCAATTTAAGACATCACTATGTGTGGATATAATCATGGCAAAGACACCAAGTTCATTCAGACTTAATGAACTTTTTCCCCACACCCAATCTTCAGTGAAAATGGGAACACGTTATGCAATGACTAAAAGCATTGGTGGTTTTTGCAGGCAAACATTTGCTCTAGCACTGACCCAGTTTTCGCGAGTATAAAAAGGGACGGATGACATTTTACAGCTTCTGAGAGATCCCAGTTAAGTGGATCTAATGCACTTCTAATTGTCAGCTCCACAACCCAAGGGACGTCTGCAAACACAGGCCGGGAAAGCTTTTACGTAAGCTGAGCTGTCATGAGAACGCCGCTTCGTTGCACTCTGCTTCGGCCGCGATAGTTTTGCTTTTTATTAATTCATGTGAACATCTTGTGCAAATGAAGAAACTTGGGCTCTCCCAGTCTTCGCTAGCATTTTTACAGAAGTCTTACATAAGTCAAATTTGTCCCCGTTTAGTCATTTCCTCCCCAAATTACAAATACCATAACAAAAGTCACAAATGCGTGGCCAGAATTTATCATGCTTTATTAATAAATAAACAAGGACATTTGATGTAAATTACCAGTATTGCACATAGCTCAGACACAACAAGTGTCAATTGCTAAAGCATCAGTTTATTTCTATGAACAATACACAGGCTGTACCAAATAAAGCTCTACTCCCAGGGAGGAAAAAAAACAAAAAACAAAAAAAAAAAAAAACCATATATACACACACTTCACAAAACATTAGTGAACTCACATTAAAGCTTTGGCTGAAGGTTTCTTTAGAACAGTAACTCAAAACTGTTGGCTTTCCAAACCCATCAAATAGAAACTGAAATTCAATCTTTCACCCTAAAATCTAATCCGAACATAAAGAACTTTTTAATAATATTTTTTTTCTTTTTCTTATTTTTTATTTTTTTTAAACACAAGGACAGCTCGGGACACCACACGACAATGATAACACAACCATCTACCCAGATGATCAGTTTTTAACATGTCAATGATAAAATATATAAATAACCCTCTTTATAAATAATCCCTTTCATGTCACCATTTTGCTTCAACTCATGGTGCAGTGCAAAGTAACAGTGTCAGAACAAAAATAACTGCATTAATACCGAGTGTAACAGAAAGCGCAATAAATCTCGCAAATACTTAAGTGCTTTTAAGTTCAAGGTCAGGCGTGTGCATGCGGGGTTGAAGCCTTTACGCATCCGGCCTGTGTGTGACGTGACGAAGAGAGTGCAATCCCATGATGCAACAGCCCCTGATGAGAGCGGCGATGTTGTACACTGGAGCGATCCCGTCCACGCCGTGCCGCGAATACAGCCAGGCCACCGTCGGTAGCACAGGTGCTGCCACCGCGACCAGATCCACCAGGAAGCTGTTGCTCCAGTAGCGCTTGCCGACCACATCCAGTCCCGGAGACAGACGGGGTACTTCCTCGCCAACATTGAAATCCAGCTCCTCCATGAACCGCCGGCTCTCCACAGGTTCCGAGCAGCACAGGCCGGAATCGGCGGAGATGTCGGGGCTCTCTGGGGCAGCAGGACCGGGCACGCCGGGTGAGGGAGGTGTTGAGTCGGGGAGACTGGCAGTGGTGGAAGTGGGCAGGTCTGGGAGACCCAGAAGACTGCTGGGGGCTGACAAAGCTGCGTCATCCCCTGTTGCCCCATGGAACTTGAGCAGCTGGAGGAGCACGGTCTGCACATCTGCAGACATGGGCATCGTGTCAGTCTGGATTCCTTTATCTTCCGTGTTCTGCTGGGAGAGTGCGCTCGAGGAGATGTCGATGGTGGTGAAAGCTACGTTTGGTAGAGCCATTGGGGGTGCAGTAGAGTCATCGATCAACTGTCCCTCTTCTGACAGTGCAGACACCCCAGGCCCAGACTCCGTCCCCGCACTCAGCTTGCCACTACAGTCCTGACTAAAATCCACCGCAGTAGACATGAAGACCTGCTCCAAAATGTCCGCCCTGTTGGCCATCTCATCGTTTACCAGCAGCCCGCTATCCGCCAATGCCTCCGCCCCCAGGTTACCCAGCTCCATTCCACCCTCCTCCTCCCCCACCAGCTTCTTCCTGCAGCTGCTGGGGCTGTCGCAGATGAAGTCCAAGGAGTTGTCGTCCTGGAGGCTGACGCCGCTCTGGGCAAGCTCCATGCTTTGCAGCAGGGACTCCAACTTCCTGTTTTGGATATTGATGTCGATGAAATACTTCTGTATTCCCTTATCCTTCTCCAGCAGGCCGCTCTTCATCGTTTCCACCACCTGGCGCAGCTGCTTGATCTCTTTGCGAGCCTCTTTGAGGGACAGCTGAGCCTCCACCCGGTGACACTCCTCTTCAATCCAGTCTTCCCTCATTCTGCCGAGCTGGGACTTAAGCTCCCCGACCTCCGTCTCTCTAATGTACAGGGGAAGAAAATGTCCAGAGGGAATGAAGGAATAGTTTGACATTTTGGAAAATCTGCTTGCCGGTAGTTAAGATGAAAAATTTGATGCCACTCGATGTGAGAAGGGTATCGATCTTTTCATCCAACTCTCGGCAAGAAAGTAATTAACTTTATAATATAATTGCAAACTACTTTTATAACTATTTAAGGAGATACAAAGTATCAGGTTAAAATAAGTTGCCTTGTTTGTTTCATGTACAGTGCATGTTTTGTGCAAGTAGCATCAATGCAGATGACATGATAGTAATTTCCCAGTGGGTTCACAATCCAGAGGATTTGAATAGTTGCAGGGCAGCAGTATGTAGGCATTACGTCACAACCATGGTTTCACCTGTTCTTCCACCAATACGACCACCGGCATCGTTCCTTAGAACCATAACAAAAGCTACAGATACAATCCCAGGAGCTTCTGTGCTGCTATATCTGAACTAACCTGTCACAGACTGTGTTCTCAGACTCCATCAGTTTGGTCTTCAGGTGTCTGATGGCCACTTCCTTCTGCTGTAGAGGGGTGAGATACTGCTCAGGGTTCGGGGGTCTGATGCCATGGTTGTCCCCGCAGGAGTGGAAGCGGCCCGGGTTCGCTCTTCTGTTTGTGAAAGAGACCATTAGGTTGATTAAAAAAAAGGCAAAGTTTACCCCTTTAGAACCAATGGTTACCCCATCAGTTTCCAACCGGATATTTTGAAGAAACAGCAGAAAAAACTATTTGACGCTTAAAAGTAAAACCGCTCCCCACAGACGGTAATTTGTCTGGCTGAGAGAGTGCTGTCGGGGCAGAAGCTCTCTGAAGCCTGGAATTACTGTGACACAGGATTACTGGCATGTAGACTAGAAGGGAAAAAAGCACCAAAAAAACCCTAAAATGCTGGTTTATCTAAATACAAGCACAGTTGGCAAGGAAAGAAATCACCTTACCAGAAAAAACACCTAAATCTAGATGCCAATTGCATTCAACTGCTCTTTGCATTTCCTGATTTGTGTTTCATCATTGTCAAAGAGAACTGATAAAAGGATTCAGGATTCGTGATTCTCTCTCTCCCTCCCTCCCTCCCTCACAGAGGATGAGTGGGTGGATTTGGACAATATGTAAAGCAGCATGTAAGCCCCTCTCTTCCACTAGCACAATATCCTAGCAACCTGGGATACTCGAAGCTCTGCATCCCTGCCAGAAATAGAAACAGCCCAGGAGAAGGTAGCATGCCAGAGGAAAGGATGTCACATGACTCTTAGGAAAGCCGACAGGACAGCGTCCTGAAGTGACAAGAGTGGAGGGCTATAATGCATTTATGGGGAGCTGTAAACATGAGATAAAGAGGGCAGATTCCTCTACTGCATAAAAACTCAAAAGGATGTTTGTCATTTATACTGCCGAGAGGATTTTTAGGTTGAACCGTATGCAGGGCGGAGCTGCCAACAAACCTAAGAAGTAAACCTTCCAAGTAATGCAGAGCCTGGAGCACCATGTCAGAAATCAATGGGCTTCACTTCTGAGCTTGAGGCTGTTCAGTTCACTCATCAATTCTGGCATTTTTAAATATTTATGACCCTGTTCTCTCCTCCAAACCAAGGTGCATTCACTGTAATCCTGTTAGGTATGGGATGCAGTCTGCAGGGTCACTGTCTGGTTACCATATTCAGACATTTGCTATATTAAATCCTCATTAATCCCAACCAGAGCCAAATCACGGCCGATATAATCCCAGACGGCTGCAAGAGAGGAAATGATAAAACAATCCGAGCTTAATCCAGCCACCCACTCACTAACTCATCGTTATGCTGCACATGAGTCAGTCCAAATCTCTCCAAAACCTACTTGTTTCGCCAAAGGTTGGATTTGTAATGAATCCAAGTAGGAGAAATGTGGAAAGGTCAGACATGACCAGGAGTCAACTCCAAAAAACCACAATGGTTATTCTGCGATTGTTAATAACGCATGCCGTGAGAGCTGTGTTTGGTATACCTGGAGGTGGGGCTGGAGTTGCAGCTGCTGGTTGAGGAGGCAGGTCTGGGTGGAGTCCTGTAGGGAGCGTAGAGTTCTGCATTGCGGTTGGCTGTAGGGCTCCCGGGTGGTTTGAACACTGGGAGCGGTCTGATGTGGGAGACGCGACTTGATAAAAAAAAAAAAAAGCATTAGATAATCAGAAAAAAATATTAAAAAAAGGGAGAAATTATTTTTAAGTTAAGCTAGAAGTGCCTTATTCTAGCAGACTATACGGATGGACCTCATACCTGCGTGAAGGAGCTCTCTTTCCAGCTGAAATGGAGGCGAGGCCCTCCCTGGTCTTCAGACTGCCTGTGCTGCTGGAGGAGCTGAAGTCAGCCTCACTACCTGCAGGGAGAACCATCAGTGTTATAGCACTTAAAGCGAGACTATATCATTTTGAAAAGGTGATTTCTTACAATCTTCCTCCTTAAATCAAAAGTTGAATTCATAAGAAATAAAACATCCTTGCTCAATTCAACACACAGGGTTTTTCCTGCTCCAGCCTCATTTAGTCGGGTGTGACCAAGTGAGTATTTAAAAATGTATGACGCAAAGTAAAAACAATATGCTTCACTAAAAGAAACATGTTTGTTTGTGCCGGCTTGTGGTCCCATTCCATTACCCCTGTGGTTAAGCTATAGTCTTACTTTAAGCCTCAACATTCAGCCCAACATGAACACTAATGCTCTTTTTCTGTGCCATCATTGATGGACAATTTCTTCTTTTTCTCCTATCATGTTACAGTGTCTGTAAAGAGGACTGACACATATTCTCAAACAGCAGCTTTTGGATGGCCTACATCCCCATAATATAACCTTTGAAGAGCAGGATATAGAGGTAAACCCCTTTATGTTCATTACAAATACCATTTACGCTGCAGAATTAGCCAATAACATCCAGTCACTGTGTGTAACAAGACAGAGAGTAAGAGGCCTCAGCACAATACAGAAGCCTAGAACATTTCCAGCTAAATTGTTTGAGCAGAGAAAAACAGCTCAGTAAATATTGTGCTGAAATGATTATGAAGAAATTCAAAGTCGTACCTGAGCAGCATCTTTTACCATCAAACAAAACCATATTAGTGTGTCCTGTGATGACTGTGACAAAGAAAATATTTCAAAACTAATGTGATCCTCCACCACTGTGTGAGTCAAACTGCTGCTCTGTGCACTTCAACCGGTGAACTAACCTCCGGCTAATCAGCCTAATTGGCTAAGCTCCCAAACCTTCTCCTCAGCCAATCAGCTGTCCTCCTCATCTTGACTCATGATCAAGCAGTTTTTTTTCCTTCTCTTTCCTCAAATTTAAAGTGAGGAGATTTTGGGATAAAGGTTGTTGGAGTTTCACTGTTTCAGTTTCACTCCAGTTATTATTCTCCTTTTAGGCAAGCAGCTGCTTCCCGGCCACTGTCTGCTCAAGTCAACATACCAGGGAAATCTGCTAGCTGCTGACATGCGACAAAAACTAAGTTATTGTACTTTGGTCTTTGGGGAAACACTGGCAAGTATATATATATATATATATAAATACAGTATATATATATATATATATATATATATATGCAGTGTGCTGTGTATAAGTCAGTGCATATGCAAGAATCAACACACCCAAACCAAATGATATCTTATTATAGGATCATGATAGTGCAGGTCCAAGGTAAGGGTTAGGATGTTGTTGATACTCATTCTAAGTTTTCTGAAAAACCTAAAACATTTTCATTACGTTCTCTTTTATCTGTGCATTCTCCTTTACCTCTGGCTTTCATGGCCGACCTCAGCTCCCTCTTGTGCCTCAGGGCGCTCCGTGGTTCGCCGCTCCACTCGGCCATCACCCTCACCCTCTTCACTTTGGTCTTGCGCTCGGGCAGCTTCGGCGAGCCGTGGGCACTCTGCTCTGAGCCTGACGGGGTTTTGGAGGGGGACACAGACTGACTAGTGGGGCAGCCGGTGTCATCTATTGTAGACAGGCACACAGACAGTAATAGCCGAGAACAGGCGGCGCGGGGCAGGCAGCGAACACAGGCAGAGCTCAAGGTTCAAGTCCGGGTGTTATCTGACAGTTAGCGCAACAACGGCTGCTCACTTTAAGAAAGTTGTCAGTGTGCTTGTTGCGTGGTAGGTTTAACAGTGTACACACACACACACATGCACATTTACACAGGAGTGTTTCTGGAGTGTAGTCTTGTATGTCTTTAATTTCCTGTGTTTGTTAAAAGAAACCTCACTATATTTTTAGTTTGAGGTCGTATTATCCTGCGTGCAGGAAAGTATTTAAGTTAATTTACTCAGGAAATACATTTTAGGGAATAACCACAAAAATATTATCATATAAAACAGTTAAAATCAGCCCCACCTTGATCAGCTAACAATAACATGCTGCTCACATGTTTATGCACAGATGATCAAATGGAAAACACTCTAAGTGCCCTTTGGCATTATGAGTACTTTTACTTGTATTACTTTAATATCATTTGGCTGATAACACTTCTGTACTTTTACTATTTTACTGGAGTATTTTCACGCTGTGGCACCAATACTTTTACTGAAGTAAAGGACCTGAATTCCTCTGCCATCACTGCTTTCATCACACATACAGTAAGGATTTAACATTTTCCCAACCAACCAATACAATCTTGCACCTGAAAGCCTGTAAATGGCGTTCAAAGTATCTGGTGTCCTCAGACTGGAGCTGAACTTCTTACCAGAGCAAAAGCTGTTGGTGCTGATGGTCCTTTTGGAGTGGTCTGAGCTGATGTCACACTCCTTCCCCTCCTCCTCTGAAAACTGCAAATCAGACAGAGGCGAACCTTTGTCCTTTGGTCGGAAGGGATGGAGAACCAAACGTGGGATGCGGCTGCGGGGGCTTCCTTTCTCCGGCGACTTCTTTTCCTATTCGAAGTAACATCTGTCAGAGCTGCAGATGTAGCCTCCCACCTTCACTGAGTGGAACTTCTTTTTCAGGATGGCATATTTTCAAATTAATAAAAGACTGGATTTTGTTTTATTGTTGGTTGTGTGCCTCATGATGACAGCTGTAAGGTCACGTTTTATTCATGTTTTTCTTTATTGCATTGTTTAAAGAAAAGACACTTCTCTTTGGGAAAAAAAACTCATTCAAACGTGCAGAAATCTGTCAACAGTGACCAGAAGTAATTGATAAGACTTACCTCATATTCTTGGAACGGTCCCATTGTGCTTCACTCAGCGTTTTCCTCTGTCAAATGAAAAACGAGGAGAAATATCAGCAAAGTTATTTTTTCTGTGGTCTGTGTATATGTGGCAGCGTTTCGACGTGGCGCTGAAACCCTTTACAAACAAGGGCCCTCTGTCTGAACTCTGTTACGCCACTAGATCCCTCATACACACACACACACACACACACACACACACATCCTGCCTGGTACAGACAGCACAAGAAGCCCAGAGCCAGCCACGACCAACACACACTGAATTTATGGGGAAATTCTACATGTAAACCCTAAAAATAAACAGCCAAGAACCTTTTTAAATCAGAATGTGTCAAGTCCTTTAACAGTCAAATGAAGACAAATACATTTAACAGCAAGTATGTAGCAACGCTAGTGGCTTAAAAGCAGCTGTGCTTTGAGCTAAATGCTAATGACTGCATGCTCACATGCTCGCAGTAATGATAATGCTAGCATGTTGACGTTTAGCAGGTACATATTTAACGTCTTAGTTTGGCTTGTTAGCATGCTAACATTTGCGGATCAGCCTGTACAGCTGAGGCTGGTTGGAATGTCATCACCTTTGCACATATTTGTTTAGTTGTCGACATATTTCAATAATAAACAAAAATGTCAACCTTGTGGAGGCACTAGAGGAAAAGTTAGGGCTTCTCCAACTCATATAGGATATATCATCTGTGGACCATGAATGTTTGTACAACATTTCAAGGCAATCCATCAAGTATATGTTGTGATATATCCCCGAATAAAATGCAAACTTTGATCTGCTGGTAGCACTAGATGAAAGTTAATAGGTCAAGTCATTCAGATTCATCCTCAAGGGACCATGCATGTCCGGACAAAATTTCACAGCAATCCATCCAATGGTTGTCGAGATATTTCACTCTGAACTACAAATGTCAACCTGATGGTGGTGCTAGAGGAAAAGCCTCTGGGATCCATCATCTGGGGACCATGAATGTCTGCGCTAAATTGCATTGCAATGCATCAATCAGCTGTTGGGATTTTCAGTCTGGACCAAAGTGGTGGGCCGACCAATAGATTTCCATAGAGCCATGATAGCGTGGCTAAAAACAGAATAAGAGATAAGACAAATGCAAATGTAGAGTTCAGAGTCTCCACAGATACAACTATAAAGACGAAAGATTGGTATTACTCTTTTCATATTCTTGTTTTTCGTCAAAGTCATCTTGGTTTCAGATGATCAAATGCAGCACAATAATAGATGAAAGGTGTCCCATTTCAGTGCACTGCACTAACTCTCCTTATCATCCTTCTGTGCCAAAACTGTGGGGCTGCCGCCCAAAAGCTACAAAGTGCCTCTATCATTGGGATATAATAGACGATGGAGCGATAAAATAGGACATCCTCTTAGAAAAAAAAGGTCTCATTTAGAGACCAAAGTAGAACTCTTGCCAAAACTTTTTCGTAAATGCAAATTCAAACAAGGAAGAAACATATCTTATTGATGCTTTGAAACTAAATAATGCAGAATTTCTCTCACGCTTGAATAAACTTTACACAATCACTTCACGTCATTTCCTCTCAGCATTGTTGCCTAAGGGGGTCAGTTGCGTAAGAGCATGCATGTGTGTTTTTTTGCATTGGGAATGATGTAATTGAACCCAAGGCCTGTGTGCTGCTGCCGCTTCGGTGAACCCGAACACTTGCTTCATCCAGATGTTATACTTTTTCTAAGATTTTTGCCTTGATCATGTGGATTCCCCAAACAACCCCCTGCCAATAACAGAATGATATCACCACTTGACCTAATATAAGCCAGGTACCCTTTATGAGCAGCCCAGACTCGTGCAAAATCCTCTTTCTTCAAACCACAGCGGCCCAAATAGGATTGCAAAAATAGAGCAGAGACTCCTGGGAGTCAAACTCAATCCTCTTTTTTTTTTATCAGACTCAAAAATAGATTTGCGTGCTGTGTGGCCAACACCACCTTGCCTACATTTTCACTTTTATCTTCAGGCATCCACAGCATCATCATACCGAGGCATTGCACAGCTGCCTGACGCACTGGCACAGCAGAATCAGATTATCGGCACCAAACAGGGCAGAGTAAACCACAACCCGTGCCCTAGCAACAGTCTTAGCAACCGAGGGCAAAGCGCTTTACGAAGGACTCCAGCTATAGATGGGACCAATTATGTGTAAATCTGCAAAGACTTTAGACTTGTGCTGCTCATCCTGAGACGCTATCCTTCACTGAAGAAAATATCTAGAGTATGCCGAAGTGGTGTGGGGCTGTTCGCCATTCAGCTGTACAGTGTTTTTCTCACACTGAATGAACATTGTGTCCTTGAGCCAGCATTTGTGAGCTCAGGAAAGAAAAGAAACTAACAGTGAAGACAACAGGTTTAAAAAAGCCATGATGATGGATGTTAAAATAATTATTCCAATGAGCCTGTGATGTATGATTACGTACACTAGTAAAGTGCTCGACAAGAAATTAGATCTGAGGCAAATGAAGGAACAGGGGCAGAAATACTTCAATAAACAGGGTGTGGTTGAGAGGAGAGAGTGGCGTTTTTCTATTTTAGGAAGTGATTTTTTTTATAAATTCATGCAACTACAAGCACCCTTATGAAGGAAATGCAAGAGGCTTCATCAGAACATGCAGTAAAGCATCAGAGATCAGACTGTGGCATCCACGAGCCAAATCATTCAAAAAGGAATCGTCTCATGTTATTCGTACTAATAATATGTTGAAAGTCACTCAATAGTGTCAGCTTGTAACGTGAAACCCTGTGAGGTATTTGGATACAGACGCCTGCTCATGCATCTGAGCTGTGGTGACATTTTTGCCTGTTTCCCATGTGTTTGCACTTGTCCTGAACTAGCCCATGTAAAGTAGGATTATGCACCCGGATCCTCTGCATGACTCCAGACAATGTTGATTGGCTACCTACTGGGCGACAGGCTAAACATTATCTAAGTTGCAAACACAGGATTTTCAGCTCTTTTGAGCATGACGAACTGCTCCAATCTACCTATGTCAGCGATAGACAGTCACTTCAACAACTCAACAATACATGAGTGGCCTGATTAGGAAGTAGATGAACTGGGAAAGGTACCCTTGGATAAACGCATGTCGGTGGGATGCGGAGATCATGTGTACATGACTAGTAAACAAGTCTTTAAGCCTCCACTGAATCTATTTCCCGTGTCCAGATGGTCTGCTTTTAAAACAGCATGGCGTGGGCGTGAATGATAAATTCCCTTAACCCATCCCAGTCTATGTGCTTTTTAATGTTGAGAACTCACACGGACTAATCACTCCCATCACTCCATCTGTTAAGTTGTGTAATTTCAGTGGTCACGACATTTCGACACTGTGTGATCGTTACTGAGCATCTATGTCCGAACGCAGGGAGCCTGTGCTCTGAAAATGGAAATATCTCATTCTTTTTCGGTGCAGCGCATCATTTGCAACACTCGTTCTGAGCTCCTCAAGCCCTTAAACAGACTGCATCATCACTGCATGACATCAAGACTGAGTAATCACTTTGACTTTCAGTGATCATCCCAGGGAGCATAAAGCATATTGAAGCCGATGCCAAACACTGATAAAATGGACTCCTGGTAGTCCAGAATATGTTCATTAGGTTCGTACCATACATAAACAGCGGATTGTTATGATAACACCCTATGGCATCATTCTCTCTGTTTTGGCACCAAATGGTTCCACACAGGACCTTTACGGTGCTAAACCCTTTTAAAAATACATACAATTCTAGCAATAAACTATATTTAACAAATGATATCACCCACCGAATCTACTCTATGCATTGAAAAGACCCTCCCTTATGTTCACATGTTTACATGCCTCCTTTTGTTTTCCACATCTCACTTCAAAGCCATTTTCATTATAAAGGCTTGTTCAGATCTCTGAGTCCTGATATCCTCTGACGATGACAACATCTTCTCCCACACTGCCCACAGATGGCTTGTGTTATAGTCTATCATGATGTATGCAGCAATGGGGATTTTCGTTTTATTTCATCTGATGCCCCCACAGTTGCTGTGAATGTTTATTTTTTTTTACCCTCCGGGAGATGCCTCGAATAAAAGGCACGCGAATTATATATGTGATTGTAATCAATGGAGGTAAACATCCAACTTCAGACCTCAAGTGTCCTCATTTCACCCAGAACCACCCAAAACATGGATGATGGTGCATGCGTACATGTGGGTGATTCGACAAAAAGACTCGTTCCTGAACTTGTAAACAGCCCCTCCTCTCCTCAGCCCACCTGCTCCCACCCCATGAACAGTTTAATATGTATTAATTTATTTTAATTTTAACCCAATGGTAATGATGGATTGGTTCGAAATGATCTTTCGTGAAAGAAAAATAAATGACATGCTTGCCTGGATGTGTGACGGTGGTTTCGTCGCAGAAGGATGCGCGTCGGTCGATGAAGCACAAAAGGGTCGTTCCGCTGCTTGTGCTGGTGCTCCGGTAGTGGCAGCCTCCGATCTGCTGTTTGTATGTTGGGTGGAGGAGAGAGAGAGAGAAAGAGAGAGAGAGAGAGAGAGAGAGAGAGAGAGAGAGAGAGAGAGAGAGCTGCGTGCAGAGAGAGGAGGGCACACACGATTAAACAGAAAGCGAGACCACTGACAGTGCACGCGCGATATGACTATACCATCCCGAGGGTGTTACATAACGCGAGAGGCATTACTTAACCACTCATTCCCCTCCATCACGTAGAGCCGGCTGCTGACGTATAATATGCAGTGACATGTTTGTATAGCAATCTGACATATGATCAACATGTAACTGACACACCTGATATAAATCTAAATATCCATTTTACCACATGACACACGCCTCGATACATTGCTCATAAATACACGTTCTAATATGATATTAACATATCCTCATTTTAAAAATTCAGAATATTTATCCTAACGGCTCTTGCGTGGATTTGTGGAATTTAGTATTTCTTAAATTCGTATGTTGCTGACTGAGTCACATTATGGGATGCCAGCTGTAAAAACGTTACATATATAGCATGTGTGTTGAACACACGCAGGAGGTCGATGTGTACAGAGACGGGCATGTGCGTGTGTTGACTTCCTCTCTGCGAGTTTGCTCTCCGTGGTGCTGAAATCTGGGAGGCGCTCGCGGCTTCTCTCCCAAGTTATAACTGTTTATATTCAGCGCAACCAAAGTAGGAACCAAACGGCACCATGTATCTCTCTGAAACACAGCCTTTGGACCAGACGTTAATGTTGTGTTGGCAGAGGCGTTCACCATTACAAGTGCGTCCGATTGGGTTCTGAAGAAGCGCTGGACACTGGTTGGCACTGGATCAAACGTCAGCATGTGACTTATGAGCTGCAGTTTGTCTTCTTATCACTGAGGCCCTCTGCTGGAACGAGATAATGTCACACAGTGGGCTGCAGGTTAACGCAACTAAATGGATTGACATAAAGACCCCCATCACTATGACCTGAATCATCGCAAACTCACAACTGTTTGTTTTTTTTTAGGAAAAAAGGAAGTGACCCCCCCCCCCCACACACACACACAATTTAAATCCATGCATATATTATTTGGTCTAGATGCAAATCAACATTTGTATTGATGTTTTATGATTTACCTTCATTTGTTGATCTTTCACGTCATTGTGTCTTCTTTCAATTGTTTAGGAGCAGACAAAATAATGTGAACACGTGTAATATGTCAAATGACTGCATGTGGTACAATATTAAGCTGTTTCATATGATCCGAGTTGGGAAATCACAAAAGTACAAATCTGTTGGTTGGTGGCACGAAACGTCTGGCCTTGATGATGCATTCAGGTAACATGAAGATACCATGTTCCTACTTGATGTTTCTGTCATTGTCAAAACTCGTCATTGAACAGATGTTTGGGGAATTGCATTTTCACCTTGAATTCAATATAATAAATGATCAGATAAACAATCAGATTTTCCCAGAGGATGTGAATGCAGCATTTGTCCTGGTTTCTTTCTGGTCCACATTGGGTTGTAATAAATAACAATTTCCACTAGGGGTCACTATTGTTATTTAAAACATGTTTGATGCATTTGAGTGACTCAACATTTAGGTTCAACATTTAGGCTAAAATGTTGAGAGTTTACTGTGGTCACCTCTAAGTTACAATTAAAATGCACGAGACCTCTGCCCTTCCGTTAATTATCTCCTCTTAAAATGATATCCGCTCAACACAAAATCAATACTGAAATGTCACCTGCCTTGTTATATTAATCATATTATTCAATATTCCTCAAATATATTTTTTTAATCCAGTAGAAAAAAAGGTATGTTTCTTTAATAAAAAGGCCGCTGCTTTATGATCACCTGGTGCACGTTGTGTGTTTTCAGTCTATCTGTGCGTAAAATCTAATCTAATCTGATTTGACGTGTCCTTGGAAGCTTTCAGGCTTTGTGATAAGGAGCACTTTAACTCTGTTCAAGTGTTTCTGAAAATTCTTTGGACCTGCATCTTTGGTACATTGTATACACCTCCAGTAACGGAAGTATCTCTATGCTGCTCAGATGTGATTTTAGTCTAAACCATTTGTCTAAAATAACTCTTTGAGGAAGGAGCAAAACAGTTTAATTGTATTGTTTGATTTACAATCTGAATTATTTTCATCAAAAATAAAAGGGAACCATAATTCTCTGGACGGTGTAGATGAGTTCAGCAATTGGCTGCTAAACCACCACCACCAACAAAAACTTTCCCACATGGACTGTCGTGTCTGTGTCGGTCTGTTGGCTCTAGAGCGCGTCTGTTTGGACGTCTGTGACATGAAATTGTTTGAGAAGCCCTGCACTGAGCGACCATGTGGGCGTGTTTCCCTCGGCCCAACAGTCTCCGCTCTTGTGTGGAGTCCAGAGCGCAAAACGCATTTCTTCTGGTGCGACCGGAGGGCGCAAAAGTAGCAGTTCTCCGACCCTGACGCGCACACCATCTCCGACTCCGGCGGCCCCCCGAATTCAACTTTACTGAGCGGGAGTTTCTTAACATCTCCCGGTGACTCTTCCAGCCATGGACGCATCTCGACTCGTAACGCTATATCTGGGCCTGCTCCTTACTTTCCTTGGGAATATACCGTGTTTCCAGTCTGCTGCTATCATCTCTCCCTCTGCGCCAAGGAGAAACCGGGGAGCCCGGATCTCTCATCGGGACGGACAAAGGTCATCCAAGATCCTAAAAGACATCCTCGCGTCTACGCACCCTATCGTGGGCCATCACAAAGAAGATCTAAAGGACGCTATTGTGCCGCATGAATACATGCTCTCCATATACAGGACATACTCGGCTGCAGAGAAGCTCGGACTAAACGCAAGCTTTTTCCGCTCCTCTAAATCTGCCAACACCATAACAAGTTTTGTGGACAGAGGAACAGGTTGGTTTCAGTCCGTTGCCAGCTCCATCAGCTCATTCTTGCATAATTCGGTGACACAGTTTTTCCTTAAAATTCTGGTCTAATATTCTCTTGTATAGATTTTCATGAATTGTGGCTTACAACTACAGTCATGCATAAAAAAGTACAGAGAAACAAGCTCGCAGCGGCAACTTTTACGCACGTTTTAGAGCAGGCAAATATAACGTGAAAGCGCACTTTTACGCGCACAAAACATATCTAAAACATACGAATAAGTGTTAATCAAAAGAAAGGTTAGAAAGCTGCTGGATTACATGTTGTACATGAGCACTTTTGTGACTGTATTGGGATCTATTTACCGCACAGCCGCCGAAACACGTAACTTGTCTCAAGTATTTACTTATATTACACTTAAATTAACCTCTAAGTAACACGACAGTAAAACACTAATTAAGGCGTTCTCCAAATGAAGGCAGTAAATCACTGTCAGTGCAGACTACAGCAACAACTGATCTGCTCCCTCCACGTGAATACAGAGGAATCTTTTTTTCACTTCAGTTGTTTCATTTCCAAACGCAAACAGGGGGGAAAAAACAACCAAATATTTCATATACTAACAGAGGCTAACATCCCAAAAACCGTCACGTATTTAAAAAGTCCAATCAGATGCCATTATGCTGCCCAGTTTGGCCAACTTGTGCTGACAAAGGGAGTTGTGGGCCAAGGCAGAGCGGGTCGGTGTGAGAAGCAGGTGTTTGGATCAGTTAACATGTAGTAACCAAGTGATTTGAGTGGCCTGCGAGGACAAACACAATCTGATAAACACAAACACATCCATATCCAGTGCACACAAAGGGACATAAACCGAGTTAATATTTGCAGGAGAAATAAAAGCTATCTTTGTTTGCGTTCCCTCTGGTCTGGAACACTCCGAGACTGTGCGCTGCAAAAAATATTACGATTTATTTAGTCCGGAGTCAGCTGCTTGAATCCACTTGTTATCTGCTTACATGGTGAGGTGCAACTGTAGACATATCCAGCGCAAATCAATTTATTTTAAGACAGTGGAATGTAATTTAGAACAGATGATTACAATATTTGATACATTTTGCTAAAAACAACAACAACAACCTATATTTAATATCTGTGGTGTTCTCTCTCACACTTGCTCTTTTTCAGAGAAAAAAAGTTTAAAGACTGATTATAAGGCTAAAAGGCTCGTCCGTGGGGCCATTTCTTGCAGTGTGAACTGATCTGATAGGAAAAACGCCTCACTTTCTCCTGTGATTTTGATGTGTTGTGTCACTGGCTCTGACCCCGAGCTGGACCCTCTGAGAGCTGCTTGGCATCGAACGGCTGATTGGAGTATTTGAACTCGGTGATCTAATTGAGTGTTCATGTCATAACATATCCAACACTGTCTATTCTTCCATAATGACCCAGCTCGGCCACGATGGGCACATCACCAAAAAAACGACGAGGGGCGAAAAATGAAAGAGCACTTCCTCTGCTGTGACGTGTTTTTATTTTATTTTTTTCCTGCGGAACCTCCTTTTGCGAGCGCCACTTTAATTACGGAAAATTATTTTTTCTTCTCGTTCTTTCAGCTCAAGCGCCTTTGGTTTCTTCTGGGATGCCTCCCAGCATCCCCTAAGTGTTGTATTGCATTAACCTGCAGAATGGATCTCAGCTGGGAGCTCTCGTTATTTCAATCGCCTCCATCAGGAATATAAATACACACGGGGCAGCTTTTGACGCGTAAAGTAACAGGTTTTACGTCGCTTACGCATTATTCATGCACGCAGAGACAGGTTTTTACTAAGTGCACCTATGATCTACAGCTTCTTTGGCTCTCGCACTTTTGTAGGTAAATGAAATTTGCTTATAAATCAGGCAGGGTGTTTCCTGGAGGTGAGAAATGGCAAGATCAGAAAAGAATAACCCGAATTTGAAAATTCGTTTTGGCACTTGGGGTAACTCATTAAAGCGCAGATGGTGCACCCCGGCCTCTCTCTCTCGCTCTCTCTCTCTCTCTCTCTCTCTCTCTCTCTCTCTCTAAACAGAGGCATAGATGGCAAAAATATGTTTTGCATTGGATCAAATACAAGCAACAAGGTCAAACTAAAGTGTACAGGATGCCATTCTGGCCAAGCAATAATGTCCACCGCACTCTCTCCCCCAATTATCCACCATCAAGCATCTTACGCGTAATGGAAAAAATTGGCTTTTTTTAATGGAATTAAGAAATCTCTGCATTTTATTAACTGTCAACACGAATATCTCTCAATAATTCCAACAGTGTGTGCACTCAGTCAGTCAGTCCGTGCAGGCGCGTTTTAAGGGGAATGTTGTCGTTGGCAGGATGAGATGAAATATAAGAGGGGAAGTGCTTTAATGAGGAAGTTGGGAATTCAGAACTGTTAATTATTTGGTGAACTTGCATTCGATTTGTTTGAGGTCTTATAAAAAAAAAAAGAGTCCTAATGCAGACCATACGGGCAAAGTCACTGAAACGAGCACAAGGTTTCAATCTGCTTTTACTGTTTGACTCGGCAGGGTTCACGGATGGAAACTGACAACTAGATTCAAATATCTCTTTAGAGCAAGTTTTACAACTTTTATGACAGGGGCTCTTAGATGTAGGCATGTAACTTGTATTTGTTTGAATTTCAGATAGAAACGGAGACAATCAATAGAGGCAACATGCTTTTATTTTACAAGAAAGAAAAGACCACACATCATTCATCTCAACAAGCAATTGAATTACTTTTTTTTAGGTTTAAAACCTTGTATTTTTGACGAGTGGAAAATGTGACGTTTAAAAGAGAGGATTTCCTTTCTCCCTTAATAACTTAATACACCTTTTAAGATTTATTTTACATTTTATGCAATTTTCTTGATACATTAATTCTGCATTTACTCTATAAAAATCTCGAAAACAAGGAAAAAATGCAGGAAACAAAAAAAAAGATGTAAACGGAAAATGATACCAAAAAAGACCTTATTATTGATATTGGATTAAAACCAAGAACATTTGAATTGCGTCTTTACTTTAATAAGCTACAGCTTGATATGCACGACAACACATGTCAAACATATTTTATTCTGATCAAACATGCATTTCGTAAAAAAAACCTTAAAAAAACACTCGGACTTTTTAAATGCAGATATTTAGTGTGTTCTGTAAACGCTAATGCTTTTTCATGCATTGTCCCACAGTGTTATATTCCAGTCTCATTGATGGGATATTTGCAGGCCTCCTGGGTCTCCAGCAGGGAATAATGCATTAATTGTGTATTGTTCAGTTGAGTGTACAGTATGTCGCCTTTGGTCCGTTGTGTCTGGCAGCACCCAGGGGCCTACAAATCACTAGACCCCTTGTTTTTTTTCTTTTTTCTTTCTTCGCCTTACAACGCTGCAAGAACACATTTGTGATATTATGACTGCTTCTTGAGACCGTTTGAGACCGCAAAGATGGAAAAACTTTACTTCCACTCTGTCAAAGAGCTTGAAATTAGTAATCAATCTGTCATCAGAGCCGTTTTCATTAAAACATTCTGCCTTGATTAAAAGTGGCGTGGCATTACATTTTACTCAGATTTTATTGGAATATTGTCACTGCAATATCAAACAACGAATTCCAGCCCTGGAATAACATGGTGGATAAAAAAAATGTATATACTGTATGTTTCTTTTTTTCAACAAGCGAAGTTGGATACTTCCTGTGTCTGACATGAAGATCACAATACAATCTCATACTGTTCATGTGCAACAAATGTGCATGGAATTAAATTAAGAAACCGTAAAGCAGGTTAAACTTAACCCTCAAATATCCTTAAACATTACAACATATTTTATTATCAAGATAATTTTGTTTGAATGGAGTCAAATCAAATCAAAGGGAAATAATGGATTTATAAGTACAACATAATCATGGATTTAGGCAGTTCTTTTTTTTTTACCAGCAATAAAGGTGTTTTTTTCATTCATATCCAAACTGAGGACTTGTCAGCTGTAGTTTGTTTCAGGCAGGTTCAGGGTGGACATTTGAAAAACAAGAGGCGGAGAGAGAGAGAGAGAGAGAGAGAGAGAGAGAGAGAGAGAGAGAGAGAGAGAGAGAGAGAGAGATGCCTCTGTGGGAGAATGTGCCCCCCCCTCCCTCCCTCCCTCCCCTCATCCCTCTGAACACTGTACACCCTAACTGAATCTGACTGCAATTATTTTCTTCTTTTATCCTTGCAGACGATCTTTTGCACTCTCCTCTGCGAAGACAAAAGTATCTGTTTGATGTCTCAACCCTTTCAGACAAAGAGGAGCTGGTCGGGGCGGAATTAAGGATATTCAGGAGAGTGCCCGGGAATCTGCAAACTTCCCTGCAGACGACGGGCCTCTACGACATCCAGCTCTACCCCTGCCGCTCGGACAGACTGCTGGACTCCAGGTCTCTGGACCCGCTGGACTCCACCAAGGCCGGCTGGGAAGTTCTGGACGTGTGGGACATGTTCAAAGCTAACCAACATCATTACCACCCCCACCATCATCACCATCATCATCACTTCCAGCAGGGGAACCAGCTCTGCTTCCAGCTGCGCGTAACTCTCCGCAAATCAGACACCGAGGTGGACCTTAGGCAGCTGGGACTGGACAGGAGCGGTCGGTCCCAGCAGGAGAAGGCCATCCTGGTGGCCTACACGCGCTCCAAGAAGAGGGAGAACCTGTTCAACGAGATGAAGGAGAAGATCAAGTCGCGGAGGTCGGCCAGCGAGAAGGAGGAGGCGACGGCGGCGAAGCCGACGGCGGCGGCGGTGGAGGAGGGGGTGTCGCTGAGTGGGATCAAGGGGGAGGGCCCCCGGCGGCGGCGGAGGACCGCGCTGAGCAGCCGTCACGGCAAGAGGCACGGGAAGAAGTCCAAATCCAGATGCAGCAAAAAGGCGCTGCATGTGAATTTCAAGGAGCTGGGCTGGGACGACTGGATCATCGCGCCCCTGGATTACGAGGCGTACCACTGCGAGGGGGTGTGCGACTTCCCCCTGAGGTCGCACCTCGAGCCCACCAACCACGCCATCATACAGACGCTCATGAACTCCATGGACCCCAACAGCACCCCTCCCAGCTGCTGCGTCCCCACCAAACTCAGCCCCATCAGCATCCTGTACATAGACTCAGGCAATAACGTGGTGTACAAACAGTACGAGGACATGGTGGTGGAGCAGTGTGGGTGCAGGTAGCGGTCCTTACGCATGAACAAAAAAAACAAAATAACAACAACAACTTTAAAAGACAGAAAAAAATCAAAGATGAGTCTCGATGGGTCCCAGGTTGAAGATATAAAGCCCTCGCAGGTCTGCAATTCTTTGACGGGCCTCGTCTTTATTCAAAAGGGATGCACACAAAGGCGATACCTGCTATTTATTCAGACTAATACAGTCACAGTAATTCACACTCTCTGCCTTAACGTGTTACGCCTTCAGTCCCATCCACGCAACAAGTCGTCGCTCATCAAACAGGCTTTTGTTCCCCAGAGAGCGAGACGTGTCCATGTGGCACGAGGGGGTGGCTCTACAAGGCGAGATGATGGGGGCCCATTGAGTTCGACCGTGCACCTGTTCGTGCCGAGGCCAGAGGACAGCGGGCTTTTGCCTGTCAGCGCTTTGTTGCAGCTCTGCCGCGTGATCCTGCCAGCACAGGCCGGACTCTTTTGGGTATGTGCATCCAGGCCGTAATTGCCACCGTCCAGCTGGAGTCATTACAGGCCACAGCTAGTGCCCTGTTATCCAAATCAAGGGGGTGAATGTCTAATCTACCAAACACACACACAGACACACACACACGCGCACGCACACACACACACACACACACACACACACACACACACACACACACACACACACACACACACTGGTCTGAGGAGAGGAGATAAGATGTGGTGGTAATGCCTTCAAGAGATTTTTTTTTTGCCTTACTGGAGACCAGTTGAGAGGCGTCACGCGCCTTTGTGGACAGAAAGGACACAAAACCAGACTTGTGCCTGACTGGGGCCCTCTTGTAAAAAAAAAAAAACAAGAAGAAGAAGAAGAAAAAAGCACACATTACTGAGGCGAACTTTTTGCTCAAAAGTCTGCATCTTTACGAAATGCACTTCTGCAACTGACTGCGCCAAGGACACGCGGTCGGGTCAGCGAGAAAGTTTGTCTTCTCTGATGACGAACATAAGAAAAAGAAAAAAAGACTCGCAAACGAGGCGATATTTAAATGCACATTAGCTTTGAATGCACTGCTGTTCATTACTTCTTTTTTTTGAGCTGTAAATATTTGTACAGTCGAAAACTTTACAAAGTGCAACGAATGAAGAAATGAGAAAAAGGCATTTCTTTGTAAATATACAAAATGCACTCAAATCGGTATAATTTCTATTCTATAATTATTTTATTATTTGTGATGTACAGAGTTTCATGATAATCATATATTTCTTACATTGATAAGAGTAATTTAAGATGTATTCGATATTGTCTTTTTTTTGCAGAGGGTGGAAAATACCATTATTAATGTCTACCTCATAATTGCATATAGGATCTGAGTTTTGAGGTGCATTCAGTTAGAGCGTAAAGAGCTTTTATAATGATATATAAGATCATTTATATACATATATTACTGGATAATATTCCACACCATTACTGTACAAATAAAATTCAAAACAAAGTCTACCAGCCTGGTATTTCTGATGATTCATGCAACTCCCTTTTGGCATTCATTTCATACATTCAAGTGTTTTTAAGAGATTCTCGCTTCCCCAGAAAGCACAAAAAAGAACTATCATATTTCTTTATGAGGGAATAAGAGGCCAAGAAATAGATTTTTTTATCAATGGATTTATAAATACATTAAGTAGGCCCAAATAACATTAAAATGCCTGGATGATTACACATGGTTTTAAAATCATACTGAACAGCCTTTCAAGAAAAAAGAAAGAAAAAAAAGACTATATTGTGGCAATTTAAGACCATTCCTCGTAGTTATAGAGACTTTCTAAGCTTGAGGTTTTATCAAAATGAACAACAGAATTCCCCAATAAGATGTGTATAATGTGCATATGGAGCACATGTACCTTTGCCTTCAGGTATGCAAGCTAATCTATCCTTCCCCTTTGTAAACAGTCTCTCGTCATAGACAAAATGTCATCATTCAGTGGCTGGGGACTGAGCCATGTATAAACATATGGTGACCATCCAAGTAAAGAAATCCACTGACTGACTGTCATTGATATGGCACCGAATGTACGAACCCCAGCTATTTCCAAATGAATTAGCCTGCCTGGGTCAAGTTTACTTAACACTTTAATGTTTCCCAATCTGTGGAAGAAAAAAAAACTTTGAAAGAAGGGATTGCTTCCATATCGTCTATCGACCTTGGCCTGGAAACAATTAGGAAATTGCTTTGAAATGGTATATGTTGTCCAGGCTCTTGTACAGTATCATGTCACTCCCACACATGTTTGCTAGGGGGAAACAGGGGATGCTAAGTGCACTCTTTAGCGGTCGCAGCAAATGACTGACACAACAACCATTCCCCTGAGTATAACCAAATGGCCCTCCGGGCTATGTGTCTGGAGCACCATCGCCGGGGTGCTACTGCGAGCCACGCTATCCCTGCTTCTCACAAGTGCACCATGGGAGATACTGTGCACCACTGTAGCGGCTGATTCTACATTAGAAATACTATAATGTTGCACAATGAAGTCTGTATTTCTAAGCAGCTTCATGTAAGTCGTGGGATAAACCTTTTCCTTTTTGATTTATATTTATTTGACAAGTTCCCCGGTCTGGTGGGCACTGGCCTGGAGGTGAGACCGAATGTGAAGGGAACAGTTAAATGGTGATGAAAGGGAAAGGAATGCTTTGTTTACCCGCTTCAATCCCTCACTCTCAAGTTAAATGTTCCTATAAAGTTCTTCATCACAACCGCCTTATTGTCCCTCCGCTCCACGCCGAGGCAGAGAGAGCAAAAGCAGAGAGTCGTGTTTATTTGAAACCTGGCCCTAATATATTAGTCTAAGCAGACCGAAGTTGGCAGAGAGACGGGTCCTTTTCATCAGAAACACAAATAGTCCTGACACCCCACATCTGTGTGGAGGCTTATTTAGAGATCGGCGAGGCTGCACAAGTGAAGATCTACTAGGTGTTGCTCCGAGAGGAAGGTTCTCAAATATGTAAAAGAACGCCTTGGCTGGAGGCACGACTGTTCCTCGTACTTAACCGCTCCGTTATCAGTGATGTCCTCATCAGCGACAGGAAAGGCATAAATCACGCTGATCTTTCAGACGGGCCAGGACCGCGAAGCAAGCAGAAATTTGTTTAACCGGCATTAAAAAAGCATTAGAGAATTTATCGCGAGGACTTATCTTGTGCTTTGATTTGTTGAGCGAATGCAATTTAAATGTAGAGAGGGGAAGAGAAAAGAGAAGCCTTGGACGCTGCCAAGGCAGGACTTTCAAACTGCTACTGATATAATCCAGCAAGATGTTATTTATTTTTCTGTGACTGTTTCTCTCCTCACAGATTTTTTTTTTGTTGCCTCTAGAGGGGTCCCTCCTTCTCTGGTTTCTTCTAGTTCCCACCGTTATGGTTTGCAGATACTGCAGTTCCCTCCATAATAAAGCTTGACACCTTCCTCCGGCCAAGAACACGGGCCAATGCAAGGTGGTGCTTCTCTGCGCTAAACAGATGCAGAATAAAAACACCCTGACAGACGTGTGTGCCTACAGTACATGTGCATTCACACGCAACATTAAGGTGTGTCTCTCTTTCTGTATGTTTTTTTTGCGTATGAGTGGACAGAAGGGCAGCAGCGTACACAGATGGACAGCTGAGTGGTGCAGGAGAGCAGCAGATGCCTGAAGTGACCCCTACTGCCGCCTTTCATTGAACCACTGGCTTCAACACAAAGGCAGGGGCGGCCCCAAACATTAAATACACTTGCTTGTGCCTTGATGCCAGAGGTCACTGTCTTTTTTCTTTTCTTCTGCGGTCAGATTTTAAAAAACGTATTTCGAAAAAAAATCAAAGATGCGCCTTGTAGAATGTTTTTAATAAAAAGTACTTGTCGAACGAGAACCAAAACTGAAAAGATGTTTAAGAGAGTGCCGGATGGTTGCACTTGGCAGCTGCTGTTTAAGCAGAGACAGATAATAAAGCCCAAACACAGCAGCCATAGTGTAACAAAAGATCAGGGTGTTTCCTCTAACGGGGCATCTGCCCGTCTCTTCCTCTGTGGTCCCACAGAAAGCCATCCCTCCCTCCTGTCAGACCATACGGTAACAGGAAGAGAGCGGACACCTCCACTTCACCACAGTTAACCTGCTAATTGCATTAAACTCACTCCCAAATGGGCGTTGAAATATGAGGATGAAGCCATGTTGCTTTTTTCCCCATTGCATTAGAAACTTTAATGTGCATTTTGTAATTGGGAAAAAAATGCATTAAATGCATTTATGTACTTGGAAAACAGCAAAGACTCAAGTCATCTTGATAGATCTGCTTGGAATACCTGTCCAGAAAAGCCTGCTTTTGTTCTGTTTATTTTCTAAAGGAATGTCTGAGGGTGCCCTTTCACCCCTCCTCATCCATTTACTGCCCCTGGTCTATGTTACAGATGGTGACCCGGGTCCTCGCCATCCCTGATTAACAAGTACACCTTCGGATTCTCCTGCAAATCTCCGCAGAAAGGAAGCTTGTCTTTTTGTATATGCCCGCAGTTCATCTTTTTGTGTGTTTGTGTGAGGGTCTGAATGAGCTCGAGTCAAAAGTAAATTTACCCAGTTAGCTCTGACAATGCTCGTGTTTGGGAGCAAGGCGAGGACATGACCTCGCTGCCCATTCACATCGGCGGAGGCTTGTGGAGAAGAGAGGGAGGGTCGTTGACCAACAGGGGCCAGACAATGGCATTCACTGGTCTGAGCACTCGGACCGCGGGAGGACAAATTAGGACTAAAGTGAATGCATTGGCTCGCAGTGTCAAAGGGAAAAACAGGAATTGAATAGCAAAGCCGCTCCCCGGTAGCTTGGAACAGCCCTTACTGCTCTAAAAGTGGGAAAAAAACCCCAGAATCTCAAGAGTCAAAGGCACAATTCTCTCTCTCCTCAATCAATGCCCATTAACTTTTTCTCTACAATATACAAAACATACCCAAATCTAAAGAGGGAGCTGGGTGGTAAAAAAGGGGTTTCGGTTCTGTATTGTAAAGCGAGACATGTAGGCAAACAAACAAGGGTCAGGGGCAATGAGGCATCAAGACAAGGATCTGACTTTGGAAGGAGGGATGGCGTTGGGCTGGAGGGCGGCGGGGTGCAGGAGGACTTGATGGACAACTCCACAGCTCGGCAGAGGCAGAGCTTTCACTTAAAAATGGTGCCTGGCCTATCTCAAAAGGTCAGAGCCCAGAACACTAACACACTACATTAATCATGAGAGGCTGCGGCTTACCTGTCTAGCGTTTCAGCCGTGCTGTACAGTTAACCTCAATTATGCTTGATTACGAGGTGTGGAAGATGCAGGGCCCGATGCAAAAGATCAGGCATCAATAATGCAATTTCAGATTAGATGTGCCCGTCTGTCAGTGTGCCGAATGGACGGAGTGGTTCAATGAGCCGGTAAAAGGGGGGGGGGGAGTGCAATGTGCCTCGCTCGGTGCCTCTGTCAATATCTTCACATTGCGGTCCTGAGCTGGAATGAAGCGCCAACATATGCATACACACAGACATATGCATATGAGACAAACACATATACCAAAGCATTGTGTGGTGTACCAAAGAGAGCTAACGGCTTCATGCTGTCCCAGCCCCCTTTCTTGGTAATTGCC